CTCTGGTGCAATAACTATGCTCTGGTGAGTCTCAGTAGTGGGCTCTCCCCTTCCAGGTCAAGCGTTGGTTTAGATCTATTTCCAGGACTGCATCCAGTAGCTAATTGTGAATTAGTAAGATTCAGAAAAATAACAATGACTATCATTGTTGTAGCCCCTGTTCAACTAAGACACCACATTCAAAAATCAATAAGACTTTTAAGACAGCAACAGCAAAGTATTAAACCCAGTACAGGCACCTTCTAAGCACAGGATTCTGCACAAATGCATGGATCATGCCCACTAAGCTACCCTCTCTCACTATAGCACAGGATCTCTCATTGCTAGGATGTGTGGTACATTTCAATTCCAGGAAAACCCCTTGCCACCACCCTACACTTCTAATTTCTACAGTCACATGGATGATACATGTTCATCCTTCAGTTCTTAGAAGAGGTGTCACTCTTCTGGGAAGCTTACTTAACTCCTCCAGTCCCCCTCTGACCAGGTTAAATTTCTTTCACAATGCTGCTGGTGGAAATGGGATCCTTTCATGGGATTGCTAAAAAAGCATTTCAGGAGGCTCACACATGGGAGGTTGAGGTTTCATGGTAAGATTCATTATAGAAGCTAAACCAAAGGACTACCCCTGGGTTCCCAGTGTCTCATCTCTGTCCCACCACGGACAAAGTTCATCCCTGTCTTCATCAGGCCCAGAAATAGGGCCAGTTTCCAGACATTTTACGCCCAAAATAAATCCAAGCTTACAGAGTCAATTAACATTTGACAAAGGAAACAAGAACAAACAATGGAATAAAGACAGTCTAGTCAATAAACAGTATTGGGAAAACTTGACAAATACATGTAAAAAAAAAAACTATACCACCTTCTTACCTTCTTATACAAGAATAAACTGAAAATGGATTAAAGACTTAACTGCATAATTAATAGAGATATAACTAGAAAAGGCAGACATGCTCATGAAGGTTGATGGAAAAGAGCATTGAATACACTACTTTATTGTATACAGTGTTTTGTGTGCTTATATCAGGCAGAAGTAACCCAATCTAAGGGTCATAGAAAGTCTCTCTGAGAATTTAAAATTTTATCTAAAACTTAAGGGATGAGTAGAAAATCACCAAGAGGTTAGAAAGTAGTCTCCCAGGCAAAGGGAATAGTATGTGCAAAATATTTGGTAGAAAAGCTTCAGGCCATTGAGAAACAAAAAGACTAGTCTGATCAGAGTGGAAGACAAGGATAAAGAATTAATATGTGGGTTTTAGTGGGGTGGGGACCTTGCAAGCCTCACTAAGGATTCTGAACTTTATCACAAAGTGGTCCAATCATAACTTGTTTCCAAAAGCTCACTAGGTGGTTTAACATATCATTAAAAGTGTCTGTGGGGACACAGAAATGGGAAAGATCAACTGACTTGGTAGCCTTCCCAGAGAAGAAACATTTGAGTTGAGCATTGAAACATTTGAGTTGAGCTTTGAAACATTCATGAGATTCTACCAGGCAGCAAAAGAGAAAGGGCTTTGCAAAAAGAGGGAACAATGACGAAGGCACCAGCATATAAAAAGAGCTGGGCATGCTGGGGAACCGGAAGCAACTATACAGTACTATGGTAGAAAGTGGAGTGAGGACAGTGGAAAATAAACCTACAGGCACATCTATAACATTTTTATGTATAAATGGTACAATATGGAACAAATGCCATATGTTTAAATATTTAAAAGTTAAAATCATGCTAACAAATTATATGAAATTTGTTCTCCCTACATACTGTCATATTCAAAAGATGGTGAATGAGAGTCTGTATAGTGTAGGTAAATACGGTAAATTTACTTTCATATAGGCCTTTATTTACACTTAACAGTCTAAATGTTATTATATCTTAATGGGAGACTTGCCAAGTCATACGGTTCTAACGCAAAAGTTCATCAACTTTATGACTAAGAAAATTACATAAATCTCCTCAGATCACAATGACTAAGAGTCACCACCAGGTTCTACAGCTAGTTGTTTTTTTTGTTGGTGGTGGTTTTTCAAGTAATTCCAGTAATCACTGCATATCTGACATGAATAATTGGATACAGATATGAAATACTGAAAGTTTGTGAAACTGTTTATTAAATGTAAAAATAAAAACTGCTCTTGAGTGAGGTTAGCCCCACTAGAATTTTATAGAGTCTTGCAAGATATCTAAACAAATTATATACCATGAAAATCCAATTATTTCATTTTTTTATAACAAAGTCTAACAATATCATGGTTTCTTTCGTCACTTCTGTTCTTTCTCAAATTCTCTCATATCTACCTTTCGTTTTCTTTTTTTATTACTCTAGTTCATTTACACCTCACTGATTACAATAGACTCACGTGTTGCCTAATACTCCACGTCTATAAGCTCATATATCTTTCCTAAAACATAATTTTTATCATGTCACATCTCTGCTGAAAATCAGCAAGCTTCCCCTTTCCATAGGATAAAATTCAAACTCCTCACTAAATGCCCATCTTATCTACCTCCTTTACCTCCTTGTACTATTTTCATAGCACAAAATTAGGTATCCGTCTTTCAAGCCTGAATTTCAGTCATATCTTCTTACCTTATCCCTGGGTCTAAATTCATCTCTCTCCCTTCTTTGAATATTATCTGAATCACACATTTTAGCATTTAAATATACAACACATGGGGGTGATATGTACATACAGTATATTAGAATTTAGAAAGTTGTATGTACAAAAAGTATAAAAGAACTAAATTGCAGAGAGAAACACTTCCTGTTTCAGGCAGAGGGACTGTGCTGAGGTAAGGCGAAGCCACCAGAGCTTTTTGCACACCTCCTACAGGAGATGTGCCAGCAACCAAGGTACTTGCCCTTGACTGGAATCGAACCTGGGACCCTTCAGTCCGCAGGCCGACACTCTATCCACTGAGCCAAACCGGTTAGGGCAACCACCAAAGCTTTTAACAGCCAGACAGGGTGGTATGATCATTGGGAATATGTAGGAGCACAAATACAGAGGTCATTCTCCAGAAAAATATCTTTCAGGCAGCAGGGAAAGCATTAAAAAATCGCATTTAATACAGCTCATTTAAAGAAAGTTGGTTAGAGATTAAGTTTCTGATCAATTTTATGACAATTTTTACTCCTGATGTCCACTTCAATTTTAGATACAATTTAAGAATGATTTATTGAGCCATAGCTGGTTTGGCTCAATGGATAGAGCATTGGCCTATGGACTGAGGGGTCCCAGGTTTGATTCCGGTCAAGGGCACATGCCCGGGTTTGCAGCTCAATCTCCACTAGGGGGCATGCAGGAGACAGCCAATCAATGATTCTCTCTCATCATTGATGTTTCTATCTCTCCCTCTCCCTTCCTCCCTGGAATCAATAAAGAAATATACTTTTTTTAAAAATAAAATAAATGTTTTTAAAAAAGACTGATTTATTGAAAGGTTTTCTGTCCTCAAAATTATCCAAAAATAAATAGCTATTAAATTCTGAAAGACTTGTATTGTATTTAACTCTAAGTTTTCATGGCTAAATAGCCAAAAGAAAATGTGATTATTCAACCTAAAATTGAAACAATATTTTAAGAAATTATATTGATTCATAAAAACTGATTAAGGAAACCAACATTCTCTTGGAGTTTCTGCCAACAACTACTCTAAATTAGAAACAAAATAAACTACTTACACAATAATTTTCAAAGGTGACACTGATTCACTTTCTTTAAGAAGCATTACGGCCTGGCCAGGTGGCGTGGTTGGTTGGAGTATCATTCTGCACACCAAAAGGTTGCAGGTTTGATTCCCAGTCAGGGCACATGCCTAGGTTACATGTGTGATCCCCCCAGTTAGGTCATATGCAAGAGGCAATCAATTAATATTTCACTCTCACATAGATGTTTCTCAATGTCTATGTTTCTCTCTTTCTCTCTCCCATCTTCTCTCTCTAAAATCAATTAAAAAAATTATATCCTTGGGTGAGGATTTTTTTTTTTAAAGGTAGTATACGTCACATATACTTAAATACATAGATTCTGAAACTGGATGGCATGAGTTCAAATCCTAAATTGCCCCTTCCTGAAAGTGTGATTGAGGGCAAATTAATTATCTTCTTTTCCTCAGCTTCCCGAAGAATGGTCTTTTTCTAAAACCTTTGCTGATTCCCTCCATCATATAGAATCTATTCCTCAACTTTTGGCTCCTTAGCACTGTATTTGTAACTCCCTTATAGAACTTTTCTTACTTTACCTTGTATTTCACTCTTTTTTAGTCCAATGTAATTCATGCAATGAATCTGCAGGTTCTTGGGAGGCAGTGTTTGTGTTTTACTCATTTCTATTCTTCAAAGAGCAAAGCACTGGACCTGGTACATAAATAGAACCACTTGTATATTTTTTCATATGAATTAAAAGGGATAAGGAAAAACAAGGATAAACATCACCTGAGGGTCCCACTATGTACCAGGCACTATGTAAGTGCTTCCACGCACGTTCTTTCATTTAATCTCCACAACATTCCACCAAGATAGGTATTACTGTCTATATTTTACAGTTGAGGGAATTCAGGTTGAAAGAATTTAAACTCGGAAAAAATAATCTCTTCCTCCAAGATGTTTATAATCTAGTAGGAAGTTGTAGTGTGTGTATTAGTGATAATAAATGTACTACAAGTAGTATGTAACAAGTGGTTCAAATGAATTCAAAAGAAGGAAAAATTAATTCTAACATGGAGATTTGAGAAGATTATTATGAGTGAGCCACACCTCAACTGGACTGGCAAGAGGAGGACACTGTCAAAGAAATTATAGTTTCACTTCCTTCTCTAGCCTTTTCCAGGCAGGCTCAGGCTCCTCATTCCCCAATTAAATGCTGAAAGACTGTATTTAAAATTTTACAAAAGAAACCAATGAAAACGTAGGATATAGCAGGAAAATTTTTACAATAAGCTTTGTATTCATAATACATAATGTTTAATGATGATTGATAAAATTTAGTGAGTGCTTATTAGGTGCCAGGAGTCTTGTAAGAAGTGCTTTTCATAGATTATTTCATTTAAACATCCATAATTATTCCAGTATCACAAAGGAAAAACTAGACCTAAAAAGATCTGCAAACTCTTAGTAAGAATCACATAACTCTTAAATGATCAAAGCAAGGGTCAGGTTTCCATTCATCTGACTCCAAAGCCAGTTACAATTCTATTTCAATCTAAGAACAATCAAAAAAAATTTTTTAATTGTAGCATATTTTCCCAAGTTATTCAAGGACTTAAAAGTTTCAATGCTATTTGAAAAATGACATACACAGTAGTCATCACAGACGGTAACAAAAACAAAAACAAAAACATTTTCCCTTGCATCACAGCTGTCCCTGAACACTGTGTTTTTATTACTTCCATCTGGAAGAATTTAAACCATACAATTTACTGCCACACTGACTCCATTTCTTTTATTCATTTTCTTCTTTTGTTTTGTTTTTCAAATGGGCCTTTTTCATCTGCTCTTTCTTTGTGCTTTCATTTTAATTCTTCTTTCTTCCATAGAGTGCTTTCTGTAAACAGATCGAGGAGGAAGTGGAGGAGGATTGGCCACTGCAATGAGGATGATGATTACATAAAAAATCTAAAAGAACTGCTCAATTCAATGAGTATTTAACAGCTTAGTAATCTTAGAGAGTATGACTAAAGTGTTCAACATAATCCCCATTGAGTAAGATAAGGAAGTTCATCAAAATATTTTAGTAGTTTATTGTATTATATCTATGCAAATATTTTGATCTAGATTTAAATTCCCAAGTTAAGCAGATATATAAATACTCTCCTTACATTTCAAAAAGGTCTATCGTAACATGAGCAAAAATGGTGCTCAATCTAACCATTATTCTGTTCCTAGTTTTACATCTCTTGCCTGAAGTGAAAAGTTCAATGGTAAGTTTGAATAATAATGGATATGATGGCATCGTCATTGCAATTAACCCCAGTGTACCAGAAGATGAAAAACTCATTCAAAACATAAAGGTAAGAAAATAAATTTTATTATCCACTTATTTTTATTTCAATAAGTATTTTCAACTCATGTTGGTTGTCTAGTAACATACACGCACTCACACAGAGTTATAACTTTCCAAAATTGCTTTGACAGTATATATCAATTATAGAATATGTCAAAATTAATATATGCTTAATTTAAATATGATTTGTCATATATTAATAATATTAGTCATTACCTAATAAATTATTTTAAAGGCTGAACTACTAATAGTTTTTTCAACTCCTTTGACTAAAAGAAAGACCTTAGAGCTAGTGAAAAATTCTTTTCAATTCATCTTTATTAAGCTACTTTTATAATATTTCAATAACTAACTCTTAAGCCTTAGGGGGTAAGTATCTTATACATTTTTCAATTGTTTATACTTTTTCAAATATTAAATACTCAAAACTCTTTTGTATTTGATTTTAAAGAAAATATTACTTCTTTTTTATTTTTATTTACTTCCTCATTTTGTTAGTATAGTTTTTTAAAATTTTATATATAGCACTTTAATATATACAATCTTCTTTGGTCCTTCCAATATCCCTATGAGATGGTCAAGAACAGAGATGCATATACACTTCAATATGGATCTGTATTAAAGTAAAAAATAGAGTTGGTTTTTAAGTGTATGAAAATGAGTTCACAAACTAGAGAGATATGGTAAAAATTCACCCTATTTTTCAATTAGTCTTTGCCAAAATATTTTGGGAAAGGGAGCTTGGATTTGCTATTTCTTGTATGTATATACACTTTTATGCTCATTTCATTGTGAAATTGTTACCACACGGTATCTTAAATTTTGTCAGGAAATGGTAACTGAAGCTTCTACTTACCTATTTCATGCAACCAAACGAAGAATTTATTTCAGGAATGTAAGCATTTTAATTCCAGTGACCTGGAAGTCAAAATCAGAGTACTTAATGTCAAAACAAGAATCATATGAACAGGTAAGGTATTTTATCTAGCTCCTAAACTGTTTCTTTCTTCTTCCTGTTCTTTAAAATTTAATACTAATAATACCTTAGCAATTACTAATCATTACATTAGTAATTAAATTAATGCTATTACTTCTCTTAATTTGGATGAAGAATTCCTTGTTTATATTGCTATTAAGATCTGCTTTGGTTTGTTTGTTCTGCTTTTTAGGCAGATGTTATAGTTGCTAATCCTTACCTAAAATATGGAGATGACCCCTATACACTTCAATATGGACAATGTGGAGAAAAAGGACAATACATACATTTTACTCCTAACTTTTTATTGACTAATAATTTGCATACCTATGGATCTCCAGGTAAGGATATCCATTTTATACTTCTATTGTTATTTCTACTGGAAACAAATATAACATTATGATTAAAGGTATTTTTAAGAGAGAAAAATACGTATTAATAGCTTTGTTTGGAAATATACTAGTTATTTTCAACCTAATAATATTTCTTTTTCAACATGAGTATAATAAATTTAGTCACTTATTGATACTAACCCATTTTAACTTTTTTGGTTTAATGAAAGTCGTCCATTTCTAGAGTTCCTTGACCCAATTAGGTTAAAGGGAAGGGAAACTTAAAACATAAGAAGTTGAATTAAAACACTGTAAATATAAATTTGTAAGTGCAAATATTCTCTCATAGGCAGAGTATTTGTCCATGAGTGGGCCCATCTCCGATGGGGAGTATTTGATGAGTACAATGTGGATCAGCCATTCTATATTTCCAGCAAGAACACTATTGAAGCAACAAGGTATTGTTGTATTGAGCAAATCTATTTTTAAAATTTCACCTATGACTTTTTATTTTTATACTAGGCAAAGAAAGGCTATCTCCAGTGGCTGAATGTTCATACAGTCAATTGCAATATCCAACCTACCCCACTATGTATAGGTCCAACTACTGGGAATTCCACCTTGGAATCAAGATCAGTCAGGAATTGGGAATAATTTTAATATTCATGGGTTTATCCCAAAATTTGTTATTGTCAGAGGAGAAAGAAAAATCTGTAGCCTACACCTTAAAATATCTAAGAATTGGAGTTCAAGTTCCTACCCAATCTTTTATTCCATTTGATTCATAACTGTTCAAGATGAATCTGTTCCATTAAAATCAAGTGAACTCCTAGAGCTTCATGCTAAAGATAGATTATTATTCATTTAATCTTGAGATTAAAAAGAAAAAAGGTACTTCTCAAAAGGATAAGTAAGTAAATTTGTTTTTAAGAAATGTAATTCTGGGTAGATTTAGACAGGTCCTATTTATTAATAGATAAGATATTTAAATTAAAAATATCAAGAACCTGGAGTATTTAAAGAACATCAAAGAGCAATTAAATCAGTGTAACAGAAAATAAGTCTTTGGGATTAAAAAACATGTTAGAGGAAAGAACTGTGATTTTTTAAAAAAAATGTCTCCCCATCTTATTTGTGTTGTTTGCTTTACCTCTGCTGAGTTGCTTAGAGTCTCATATGGACTGGGCTCTCAACCCAGGACACTCATTCCTCTGACTTCATCCCATACAACTTCTCCCGGCACCACCTGCCTTATCCAAACAACACTGTTCAGTCTTCAAGACTCAGTTTAAATGTGTCATTACTCTCCATTTGGGGTTATATATCCTGGGGAATATTCCCAAAGGAATATGTATGAGCTTCTCTCACACTGGGCAGGAATTTTATTTTCCCCAATTGACTTTAAGATCTTTGAGGGCTGATTTTTTTTTTTTAATCTCCTGGCCTTGGCCTGGCATAAAATAAGTAAAAGCTAAACAAATAATGTATCAAACAACAAATTTTTAATAAATCAATGAAAAATGAATGAGTTTCTTTATCAGGCATAGAAAGAGACAAGTTATTAAAAAGAAGTAGCTAAAATAACATTTATTGAGCTCCTACTGTGTGCCAGGCACTGTCTGAGGTAGTATAAGTTTAACTTTCAGGCTTACTTTAGAGCTAACCCTCCTGGAATATATGACTCACCATCTTCTTTAATCCTTGCAATACAAATAAATGTATTAAAGTGGATTAATGATATGAAGTGGGTTTTTAAAAAATATATTTGTATTGATTTCAGAGAGGAAGGGAAAGGGAGAGAGACAGAGAAACAGCGCTGATGACAAAGAATCATTGATTGGCTGCTTCATGCACACCCCCTACTGGGGATCAAGCCGCAATCCGGGCACGGGCCCCAATAGGGAAACAAACCATGACCTCCTGGTTCAACCACTGAGCCACGCTGGCCAGGCAATGTTATGAAGTTTAATATTAACACAGAACGGAAGTAAATTCTGCAGAAACAGGAACTCTTCAGAATATTTTATACATACCACACCCCATTCCCTGCCAGGTGATTGACAATTATCATGAAGACCAAATGATTGAATGCACAAGCATTTCCATGCAAGGCTTATTTTTATTTCTTCCTTCAATCTAGCTCAGCATTTTTCAAATTGTAAACTGAAAAATGCTTAAACCACATTTGACTTTGGATGTATGGTATACATGCATATATATATGTATATATGTATATGTATGTATATGCATATATATCAGTATATATACATATATACATATATATATATTTTAATGTGTGTACCATCCATACAAATCTAAGAAGGTTTTAATCATAATGTTGATTCTTTCCTCCCAACTAGGAAGCAACTCCTCTGTATCTCTTAACTAATCTAATCTTCACAACATCCCTCTCAGGAATTATCATCTTTAGCTTAACATAACAAGAAAAATAGATTATTGATCACAATAGTAAGCAATTAATGCTAATAAATATGAACTGACATCATTATTCTTGTTTAAATTGATGGTAAATATGGGTAGGACATTGAGCCTACTTCTGCCAAAATATTTGGCACATGACCTATAGCAACTATTAAGGGAAAAATTGTAGGACATTAGTCTTTATTCATGATTTGTCTGGTCCTCATATGTAAATGTAATCTAATTCTTTCATCATAGATGTTCAACTCAGATTACTGGAATTAATGTGGTTTTCAATAAATGCCAAGGAAGCAGCTGTATAATAAAGCCGTGTGAACGTGACTCACAGACAGGGCTGTATGAAGCAAAATGTACATTCATCCCAGAAAAATCCCAGACTGCAAGGGAATCCATAATGTTTATGCAAAGTCTTGATTCTGTAAGTACATTCTCTTTCAAGTATCACAAAAGAATTCTTTGAGAAAAACTAATTGGGGAAGCTGGATTTTCTACCATGAAATTATGTACACCAATAGAAACGCGGAAAATTACTCAGTTAACAGCCATTTTCTCCAGCCTGTGTCAGGTGTGTCTGGAAAACATTCCACCCTTGTTAACCTATTTCTTTTCTTCAGTTGTGGAACTGTACCCTTTTCATTGGTGTCACATACTTTCTTATAACATCCCTTCCTTCACTTGATTCTGTAGGCTTGTGTCTAAAACTACAACCTTTACTTTTAATTATCTCTTCTAAGTGTTAGTCATACTACTTTTCCAAAGTAATTTATTCTGTAGTTTAGAAAGACGAACACTCTAGACTTTCCATTATCTTCATATTAAAGCATACCAACCTATTGCAAATGATACTGTGGAAACATATGGCTCTGTCTCTACAGAACAAAAGTTCACAATTACATACCTGACCAATTGAAAATTAACAACACAGTAATTCAAGTTCCAAAGCGAATGTTGACCTTAAATATCTGGTTTAAATGTATAAAGCTCAGTGCAAAAGAAAAGGTGCCTCAGAATCAGATAAATTTGATATAAAAACAGCATCTGTCATTTTCAAGCTGTATTAAACTGCTAAATCTGAGATTTAGTTATCTCACCTTTTAAATGGCTTCACAGTGTCGTTGTTGTTAGGTTTATAAGAGCTAATATAAGTAAAGTATTATCACAGTGCTTAACACAAAGTGTTATATGAGTTAAGAAAATTCAATTTAACCTGCTAAATCTGGATCAGCAAAGGCTAGCCAAAGAATTCAGCATCCAAATAGACATCAGCTCATGTTACATAAAAGGATAATTGGAATATGTACTGTCTGTACCAAACTATAAATCCCAAAAGTATTTGACTATTAGGCGATAACTCGTGCGCCTACCTGGGAGATATATAATAATGAAGAAGATCCTATAGCTGAAATAGAGAAGGCAACTAATTATATAAGATGTGGCTCAGAAATAAGTACTGCACTTAAACCATACATCTTGTCCAGAATAACACTAACTTCTAATTATCATAAATTTATTGCATATTATCTATATCCATAGAATAAGGTCAGACTCAGGAGAGATATGATCTGAAATATTAAATTAGTTTCTATAGTAATGAGATATTTGGCAGAATTACTAGATAAAACTCACCATTAGAAAATGAAAGAGAAACAACTGTATTTCCTCATTTTTTTCCTACATTTTCATTACTTTTATAGGAGTACTAGAGGCCCAATGCACGAAATTCATGCAAGAATGGGCCTTTGCAGCCTTAGGCAGCTGCCTGGATCCTTCCCTCACAGCTGCTGGCAGCTGCCTCGATCCTGTGGCTGCAACCCCAGCTTAGTCCAGAAGGACGTCTGGTCTAATTAGCATATTATGCTTTTATTATTATAGATTATTTTATTCATGTCAGCATTCACCAGAGACAATAACAAACCCTTTTGTTAGAGTATCTGTTCTCAAGTTTCATGATCAACTATAAAGAGATAGAAAATATTTAAGCAATTAAAGAATGCTATTGTTATCCCACTTTTAGGGTGCAGCTAGAAATTACTGCAAACCCTGTTCCTTCTTCCACTAAATTGAATTCAAGGCTTGAGTCCCACCAAGAGTCTAGAAGGGAAAGTAAAAAGGTAACTTAAGCAGTTGTACCAGCCACCACCATACCACACTGCTGTACTTAAAGAATG